ATATATATAAAATACATATAAAGGTAAATAAATAAGTTTGTAAAAATTCTGATATAAACATTTGTGATTTTTAAAATTCACCTTCAATTTATCAGAAAAATAAAGATTACATTTCTTCATTAGTGCAAAGACTGAATCATTCAATGAACTCCATTTGGAATAGATATGCAGTAGGCAATGAATTGTGTACTTCTGTCTTACTATTTGTAATTTGTGGCTATTATTGTTTCCTTGTTCATTTGGTTTTGTGAGACTGAAGAAGTCATGTTCACAGGACTTTAATGAACAGTCAAGGTTTTTCCCTTATGATATCATTTACATACAAAAACAAGCATGACACAAATATATTGGAATATCACGTATTCCAACACAATATGTAAATGTGTGACACTGTTCACATTAAACTTACATGATGATAAAGACCAATTATATGTCATAAACCTGGAATAAAATTCTGTGAATACTACAGTGAATATATAGAGAAGGTTGATAGACCTTAAGTTGTTTTAAAAAATGAAACAAAGAGTTAAAAAATCTAAAACTGACCCCAAATGAACATTTGTAATTCTAATATTCTATATAACTATAATTACATTTTATGTTAAATTTTAAAAGCATTTTAAAGTTTATTAAATAAAACAGAAGTCAGCAAACTTTTCCCAGAAAGGGCCAAATAGTAAATATTTCAGCCTTGAGGGCCATACAGTCTCTATTGCAACTAATCATCTCTGCTTTATAGTGCAAAAGCAGCCATAGATAACACATACAAACGTGCTTCACTGTGCTCCAATAAAACTTATTTACGAAAGAGGCCGTAGGCCAGATTTAACCCATTGGCTGTAGTTTGCTGACCCCTTTCGTAGAAAATCAAACTCAAAAACACTGATTTTTTAGGTACTTCAATAACTAGCCTAAAGAAGAAGACATTATGTAAATGTTTAATGCTCTGAGAATTAATGAAGCCATGAATGAGTAGGGAAAATAAAACCTTGTGCTCAGAAACAAATGCCATTACGATTCAATGTCTAATTAGTGGTTAGCAGTCTGCTTTCCTAATTGGGGCAAAATTCCAAGAGGGCAATCCAGAGCCTTATTAAGACCTACGCTTGCAAACTAAAACCAATAAGATGAAAGAAAATAAAGAGATCTAGAAAAGAGAAAGTGAGTTTTCAATCTAAGATGGCTAACAAAAAATGATACCTTTTTGTGTTGTTTCTATAGTATTTTCCACAGGAGTAAGAAACGTCTTTACTATCTCTGTAACCTAGAGCCTAGGGCAGCGGTTCTCTACCTGTGGGTCGCGACCCCTTTGGCGGTCGAATGACCCTTTCACAGGGGTCGCCTAAGACCATCCTGCCTGTCAGATATTTACATTAAGATTCATAACAGTAGCAACATTACAGTTGTGAAGTAGCAACGAAAATAATTTTATGGTTGGGGCCACAACATGAAGAACTGTATTTAAAGGGCCAGAAGGTTGAGAACCACTGGCCTAGGGTATAGTAGATGGTCAGTAAACTTTATATGAAGTATACATGTAGATGCTTTCTATGGCAAAATATGTCTTTCGTTAATTCCCACAAAATGATGGCACTCTGATGCACAACTTAACTTTAAGATCCTCCTATGAAGTTAAAATGTTCTGTTGTTTTATATCATCAGTCACACTTTGATTGTAAAGATGAATTTTTGCCTAAATTAGAACATGACCTACTAGTACTTCTCAAATAGCATAAGTGGAAACATGGGTTTACTTATCACTGTAACGCTTTGACTTGGACAAAGAAAAACAACTGTACACATCAAAATTGGTTATAAAACCAGAGTTATAATTATTTTTGAAATGCAGAATTAGTTGTAGTTTAGTTGTATAAATTTAATTATAAATAGATTATAGACTCAAATCAGTTTTCAACTGAAAGAAGTGTACTTGGCTATTCATGATTTAAAATATCAAAAGTGACCAAAATGCTAATTTCAAAATATATATATAAATTAATTGTTCTTCAAAGTCTGAATATTTGAAAAATACTAGAAAAAATAAACCATTCACAAACAATATTTACAAATTTTGTCTATGGCTCCAAAAAATAAACAAAAAAAATAAAACATCCCCAAAACACAGTAACTCCACACAGTGGAAGAAATTAATTTTCATATAAATTACTATATAAATCATACTTTTCCATGATGTATGTAACAAGCTGTAAACAATTAATTTACTTTAGCAATGTAAAATTCTCTATCTTTACTTTTATATAATATTTTCACATTTCAAAGCAAAATACTAAGTTTAACAATGATAAAAACAAAGTTTTAAAGAATGTTATTTGCTTTTGGATCAGTAACTAGACATTGACAGACAAAAGAAAGCCACATACAGTTATGCACTCAAACAACACACCGCCTTAATTTGCCATTATTACAAGCACAACATTAACATTAGATACAAATGTAAATAGTAAACATTTTTGATTAGAGGGCAAGCGAAAGATGTACCAGAGTAAAATATTTAAAATTGGAATAGGACTATGGTTCAAAATTCACTTGTAAAAAAATAAATACATATAAAACCATTATATATATTACAGTACTTGAAATTGAATGGATTGTACTTCCAAACTATCATATTTAATAACACAAGCCAAGATGACCAATGGTCTCCTTAAAAAATAATGAGAAGACATAGTGTGCATCATAATTCATAAAAAAAGGAAATGAAAGTAAAAAGGACACAGTAAAACAAAACACCAAGGTTAAGAATAAGAATACTATCGTACCGAATTCCATGGTCCCCGATGCCATGAGACATCATCAGGGCAAGCATGAACATGACATTGTGCCACGCTAGGTGGCTTGTTCAAGATTTCACAGTTTTGCTCCTGTGACATTTGGCCGTTGGGAAATTGACATATTACAAATCTTGATTTTATTCCTCCTCCACATGTTTGTGTACACTAAAAATAAGAAGAAAATTCAAAACTATGTGGCTTGAAAGAGAATATGATATTGCTTTATTCAATGTTTAATATATAATTAGTAATGCTACAGTTTAAAGTTTATCCTTTCTTCATAATTGTCAACATTTCTTCCTGGGCAAAAAGTAAGTCAAAGTATTGCTTCTATAATTTAAAAAAATAGACAAAATTTTGAGAATTAGTACCATAAGATAGTTTAATAAAATATGAAGGATCTATAATATAGACTCTTGCTAGGTTAAGGACCTGGCAAAACTGATTTACTTAAGTAATAAGTTTTAACTACATAATGTACAGTGTCTTATCAATAGATTACTCTGTAGCTATGAAAGCTAATAAGGCAGATCTAAATTTATACACATGGAAAGATGTTCAGTATATATTACATAAAGACAGCAGGTGGCAAAGCAGCCTGGGTAATATGACCCTATTTCTAGAGCACTATAAAACAGAAGTCTGGCAGGAAATGTATCAACATGTTAAAAGTTCTCATCCTATATAATAAAAGCCTAATATGATAAGTGTCTGGTTGTCTGTTCAATCAATCAAAGCGTAATATGCTAATGATATGCTAAGGCCACTCAACCACTCACTATGACGTGCACTGACCACCAGGGGGCAGACAGTCAACCGGTTGACCAGTCGCTATGACATGCACTGACCACCAAGGGGCAGACATTCCGACCCGTAGGTTAGCTTGCTGCTGGGGTCTGGTTGATTGGGACTGAGCAAGACAGGCCAGACACACTCTGGAGCCCTCCCATGGTCCCTCCCTAGCTGGCCAACCTCCCGTGTCCCTCCCCGGCCCCAATCATGCACTGGTGGGGGTCCCTCAGCCTGGCCTGTGCCCTCTCACAATCTAGGCTGAGGGGACTCCCCCCACCCTCCGGAGTGTATGAATTTTGTGCACAGGGCCTCTATTCTCTACATAATTTTTCATATTACTTGACTATTCACAATAAACATATCTAAGTTGAGAAAGATACATGTTACTTGATATATATATAAGCTATTGGTCAGAAGTGTATCTTTAAAAATAATTTTCAAATTTCCTATGAAACAAAAACATTTGACTAATTAAATTAGGTGGTTTATTTTATTCATCCAATGCCAATTTCTTTCTCATTCTTCTCACCCATAATACAGGCAAGATTGGTATTCATTATAACCATTTTAAAAATTATCTTCAGATCCAAAGTAACTAGAAGAATGCCAGGACAAAAATAAAGTGCTCAATAATCGTCAACTCTCTGTTTAAGAGATTCATCAAATGAGTGGTTCAGTAATAAGATATAAACATGGCCTATATATCAATTTAATTTTCTAAGAAATTAAGACATTAATATACTAATTTTAGAAAGGCATTAGATTCATAGACATATTGCCTAGCCTTATTAGATTCTGTTTTAAAATCTGGAGTATATATTTCCTGTCATGAGTGAGTGATATATACCATCCTATATAATAAAAGCCTAATATGCTAAGTGTCTGATTGTTTGGTTGGCCATTCAACCAAAGTATAATATGCTAATGATATGCTAATGATATGCTAAGGCTACTCAACTACTTGCTATGACGTGCACTGACCACCAGGAGGCAGATGCTCCGACTGGTAGGTTAGCTTGCTGCTGGGGTCTGGCCGATCGGGACTGAGCGAGATGGGCCGGACACGCCCTGGAGCCCTACTGTGGTCCCTTCCTGGCTGGCCAACTTCCTGTGTCCCTCCCTGCCCCGATTGTGCACCAGTGGGGTCCCTCGGTCTGGGCTGCTCCCTCTTGCATTCCAGGACCCTTTGGGGGATGTTGGAGAGCCGGTTTCGGCCCAATCCCACAGGTCAGGCCAAGGGACCCCACTGGTGCACAAATTCGTGCACCAGGCCTCTAGTGATAGGATATCTATGAGCAGAACACGGTTTTAGTAACTCAATAAAAAATTTAAAAAAAATCTTTCTTCATAGTGTAGTGAAGTAAGATTACCCATCAGTTAACAGTAGGAAGTGCTTAACTTCTGGTCTTCAGAGATGTCGTACTTCTCCACAAGTTTAAGAAATGCTCTGACTTACTTCTCCCCAGCTCCCGTAGTTCCACTGTGGACAGGGTCCTGTGTCACAATGCTTTGCCTCGGGGGGTTTGGCAGCCACATCACAGTAATGGGCACTCTGTCCGTTTTCATCCTGGCAGACCACAACCCGACGCTGAACGCCGCCAGCACAGCTGCTGGAGCACTGACAAGACAAAACACAACTACAGATCCACATCATGAAGTTACATGGTGAAAAAAACGATGATTTTGACTCAAATTCAAACTCCCCACAGAAAAACTCCCTTTGTTGGAATCATAATTTGAATTGAGAAAATACGTCAGAACACTTGAGCTTTCGTAGGGGTGCATTAGAGTTTGTTGATGAAAAGGTGACTGTGTTTTTGTGTTTGTTTTTTACTATTCTTGACTTTTTAATTTTCATATACATTGCAGAAACAACTTATCAGTCTCAGTCCCCCACAAGGAGTCAAAGTTTGACTGGTATTTCATGGAGTCTATATGCCAATTTGGGGAGAATTTGCATCTGTATAATGCTGAGTCATCAAATCCATGAAAAAGAGATATCTTAAAAAAGCTTGCAATAGGAAATTCACCTTTTTCCTAAGTATTAAGTAAAAAGGAATTAACATTTTTAAGGTCTCAATATGAAGGAATAACTAGTGTTAAGTTACTTAACTTTTATATTGTGTTTATTTTGTGTCATTAATCGCATGTAAATTATGAAATACAATCGTACCTTCTGTAGTTTATCATATTTTTACACCAGCCTGCTGCACTGCTACCAATTTCTGGGTTTGGTTTTTTCAAAAACCTTTGTAGTCTTAAAAGATTTTCCTTTTGCTTTTATTAAAATGGACTGTAATCTGATTGTTTTTAAGTGCATTCTTCTGTAAGCATAACATCACATTAGTATAATTCAATAAGAACTCTGGGGATTTGTTATCTATATCAAAACTTGCTTAATCCCTTTAAGATTTAAATTATTGATCTTCAGATAAACCTAGCATTAAAAGCATTTGATGTCATTACATACATATCCGTTAAAAGGCCATAATATAACAAAATTACAGAATTAATATAACTCAATAAAGATGGCTTACCGATCCCCATGGTCCTGTTCTCCATTGGTTTCCTCTGATTGATGGATGGACCCCCCACTTTTCATTATCTTCTGGTTTGTGAGTTAATGGAAAATTCCTGCCTGGAAAATGGTTTGGCTGCTCAGAGGAACTCGGAAAGTTGCTGTACGAGGGCTGGCAGGCTGCCACATTGCATTCTTGTTCTGCTGAAGGGCGAACGTCAGGGTCACAGTGATTCTCATTAATTGGCTGATGGTACTTGATGCATAAAACTTGCCGATTTGTTTTTCCATGGCCACAGGAAGCTGAACACTGATCACAAATTTAGACAACATCCGTAATGTAGTAAACTACAAGCTTATACTCAAAATTAAATTTTTTTATTTTTTTATTTTTCAATTACAGTTAACATTCAATATTATGTTAGTTTCAGGTGTACAGCACAGTGGTTAAACATTTATATAACGTATGAAGTTATCCCTCCCCCATAAGTCTAGTACCCACCTGGCACATTAAGAGTTATTACAATATTTTGACTATATTCCCTATGCTGCATTTTACATCCCCCGTCACTATTTTATAACTGCCAATTGTACTTCTTAATTATATTTAAATTGTTCATTTCATTTTTTTTCTCATAAAAATACTTACAGGTGACCAATCCCCTGTTTGCCACTCCCCACAAGGGCTAAAACAGATGGAGATTTCAGCAGGTCGAGGTATATGTGCGCAATATGATTCATCTGCTATTCCGTCATGAGCATCGCGGCAGCTTACATAGCGGGCTTGGTTGCCTCTTCCACAAGATGCGGAGCACTTAAAAAATTGAATGATACCAAGGTGTTATATAGTACCTCTCCTACTTCCCATACACATAGCTGTTGCTCCAATTTCTAAAACATCAAGTTTCTTGAAAAATCAAATCACAAATGTTATCACCTGGCATCCCTTCTGAGTCAATGACAGGGCAGTGGATACCCGAGTCAGTTTAGATCATAAATTTCACAAATTAAACATTTATGGTAATGAGAATAAAACACTCAATCAACTTCCTGGAATACTGATTATTTGCAAATTAGAGATATTAAAAGCATTTTATATAAGAAAACACTAAGATATTTATTTAAAACTAGAGGCCCGGTGCATGAAATTTGTGCACAGGGGAGGGTGTGTACCTCAGCACCCTCTCCAATCTGGGACCTCTCGAGGGCTGTCAGACATCCCTCTCACAATCCAGGACTGCTGGCTCCCAACCACTCACCTGCCTGCCAGCCTGATCACCCCCTAATGACTCCCCTGCCAGCCTGATCGATTCCTAACTGCTCCCCTGCAGGTCTGATCACCCCCAACTGCCCTCCCTTTCAGGCCTGGTTCCTCCCAACTGTCCTCCCCTGCCAGCCTGATCACCCCCCACAACTGTCCCCTGCCGGCTCTCTTCGTCCACATGGGGGCAGCCATCTTGTGTGTTGGAGTGATGGTCAATTTTCATGTTACTCTTTTATTTGATAGGATATCTTAAAAAGCCTAAGTAATAGAGTAGATATGAACCCATCATTGATTCAGAGAATATGCAAAGGTTTAAAATATATACCACATATGCTTAAAGCAAAGCTTTCAGTTTTGAAAAACATGAAAATGTCAGTAGTTTAAATCAAGGCTGATAAAAAGCTTCATGTCCCATCTGCTTCTCCTCACAACCTGTGACATATTACCCCCATTTTGTAGATTAGATAATAGAAAACCTAAGAATACCTCAGTCCTTGAAAAGCACAGCAGGATTTAGCCATTAAATTACCTATTTCTAAACCCCAAACTCCTTCCAACCATCAAAATACCTGAGAATGAATGCAGACATTAATTTGGCAAATCTGTAGCAACCACTTTGGCGATGCCTGAAAGCCTCCAATAGTAGAAATACTGTACCGCCCAATAAAATTCACTTACTGGAGTCCAAGAACCATATCGCCACTGTGCTGTCTTTCCCATGGGAACAGCTGGTAACGAAGTGGTCCCAGTTTTAAGAATAACTGGGCAAGATATCATGATGCAGTCCTGTTCAAAAGAAAAATGGATCTTATAAAACATCAATTAACTAATCACTCTGATGTATATTAAATCCTATGCTTCATTTCTTCTCCCACATACCTAATTCAAGCACAGTTCCTACTCAATTGCACACAAACAATGTAAAGGGTTGTCTCCCAATCCCCCCCTCCCAAAAAAAAGTATAAAGTACTATCAAGGGCTTGAAGTGGATAGTATGACTCTGACTCCTCAAGTCTGGGTTGTTTTGTTCTGATGGTTGAAAAAGAAAAGAGCAACAGTCCTTCAAAAATATCACTGAACTGAAACATTTTGAATGAACACACACTACCTTAAAAAGTACCACACACTTTAAAAGTTCATGGTATTTATAATATTGTCTTGCTTCTACAATTCAAAGGATGGAGATATACTTTAAATGAGTGATCCAATGGCAGATAAAGAATAAAAAAAGCATTACTAAAGCTATAAGGCTGGCAAAACCAATGACAATAAGTTCTCTCTGGCGAGTATGCACACACACGTTCATAAGGCATATCGTGGGGAAAATACATGTGGAAGTAATTTTAACACATCAATAATCCTCCTGCATCATAAATCTTTCTTTTCTAAAATCCAGGAAGAGGTGTCCTTTACCTGCCTGTCACTGGGGCGACTAGCTCCATAGCACAGTCTGTCATCCAACACGGCACTGAGCAGCGCATCCACACACTTCACAGCACGCATCTGATACCCATGCCCACAGGTGGCTGTGCACTGAAGGACAGAAGCAGGTAGCGAACACCTTCATTATTTAAAAATGACAAAAACTTAAATTTTTAATAAATGCAGTTAATATACTTTCAGTAGATCTTTTTAATAGTTTTTGATACCAGATTCTAGACTAAATATTAGTAAGTTTACTCTCCTTATATATTTATTCAAATTTATATACATACTAATGAAGTACTGAAGTTTAAATGGGCAGTTATTATTGTATCTTTAAAACACAATTATGTGAAAATATCAATAGAGACCTAACATTGTAGAGGCAGAGTCAATAGACTTTAGGTAAACTAAATACTTTTCCCCCAAAATCTAGCTGGTGCATGTATGTCATTTAGTAGGCTAAATTGGTTAACTGAAATACAGTGTTGGAGCAGAGCTCTGTGGATATCCTGGATTGTCAGAAAGATACACAGGTGGGTCCCTAGAGTAAATGAAGCCTGAACTATCACTAGAGGCAAATGACAAAACTGAAGCTATACTACTCTGGGCACATCATGAGAGGGCGGGGTTTTTTTGGAAAAGAATGATGTGGGGAAGAATGGAAGGCAACAGAAAAAGTGGAAGACTAAATATCAGATGGATTGATTCCATAAAGAAGCCATTGATATGAGTCTACAGAGCTGAGCAGGATGCTAAAGATAGTCACTGTGGACATCACCCATTCATAGGGTCCCCGGGAGTCCGGGCTGACTCACTAGCATGTAACACACACATGCTGAGTAAATTCCAAAGAGATATAGAAGGAAGAGCATTAAGACAAAGTCAAAGGGAAGATGGGAGAAGGTTTCCCATCAACTGTGGCAACCTGCCACAGGATAATAAAGTGCCCCCCACCCCTTGTCCAGCCTGACTACCGCTCATCCTGCACGTTCCTAGCTTCCTTGTTGGCAAACCTTCTAAACAATGCCTGTTCTACATACAGCAAAGATAATTAGAAACAACATGAAAATATTTATAAACAAAGCTGATGAAAGCATAAAATGTGTGGCATCTTGGTTAACAAAAGTAAATTCAAAGCCAAAGTTGAAATATTTACCAGAACAAATTAATAGTAATACTGAGAAAATTTTGCAGATAAGGGTTTACTGTTGCAGTGGTATTTTTCCAACAAATCAATCAAATTTAGCTGCATCTACTAAAAGAATAAATATACCACACAGTTTGTGCTATTCTGTAAAGACAGATTAAATCAGAAAAACCCTTATCATATACTCACAGAACCCCAGGGTCCGACTTGCCAGGAAGCACATGTATGAAGCTCACATGGTCTCAGGGATTCGGGTTTGGTACTTGGATTACAGAAGCCGTCACTCAAATGATCTTCATTGAGTTCACACCACACCTGTCGCCGCTTTGTTCCTTTTCCACATGTAACAGGACACTGTAAGAACATCACTGACCATTACTTATTTTCAATATTAATCAATGCAATGCCTTACAAAATGACACAATGATTCATTTGCATATTAAAATGCAGCCAAAAGACCATTCCTAAGGACGTTTTTTTCTCTTCATTCCTCTAGAGATATTCACTGGGTGAGATCAGCCACCAACACTTGCTGCCCAAATCCCAGTGCAACATCTCTTTGTCCTAGAAACAAAGGTACAAAAATAACCCTAGAACAAGTATGTATCTTATGCTATGGTGGACAGTGGGACTTTCTTAGGAAAATGGTTACAGATTAAACACCAGTTAAGGTTACTGTTAGCCAGACACTGTAAATATTTTAAGAACAAACCAAACCACTTACTAATTTTTATTGCCATGACAACCATGTTATTTGCAAAGTGAAATAAAATAAAATGAAGTAGTTTTGAATTACATAAAGCCTTATATTGCAAAGCTTTCCTACACAGTATCATAATAACTCTAAGCCTCGTGTGTTTAATGTTACCTCACTCCACTCACTGGTAGCCCAACTGGGACAGGGAAATTCATTGCAATTCTCAGTCATCACGTGGGGAAGCTCTTGGCATTCTCTGTCAGCAAGCCGGTGGCCAAAGTGATTTATACAATAAGATTCTCGAGACCTTTCCCCTCCTCCACAACTCCTGGAACACTGAAAAACAAACAAAAAAGTGGTGGCAAATTGCGGGGGAGGGGGGAAGAGACCTTAATAAAAGTATGCTTTAGAGCAGTGGTTCTCAACCTTCCTAATGCCGCAACCCTTTAATACAGTTCCTCATGTTGTGGTGACCCCCAACCATAACATTATTTTCGTTGCTACTTCATAACTGTAATTTTGCTACTGTTATGAATCGTAAATATCTGATATGCAGGATGTATTTTCATTGTTACAAATTGAACATAATTAAAGCATAGTGATTAATCACAAAAACAATATGTAATTATATATGTGTTTTCCGATGGTCTTAGGCGACCCCTGTGAAAGGGTAAACATTTCTATATGTGACACGGCACCAGAGTTAAGTTAGGGTTTTTCAAAATGCTGACACGCCGAGCTCAAAAGGTTCGCCATCACTGTCTTAGGCGGCCCCTGTGAAAGGGTCGATCAACTCCCAAAGGGTCGCGACCCACAGGTTGAGAACCTCTGCTTTAGAGAAACAAATATTTAATTAGGAAAAAATGAGTAACTTTTCTTAAGGAATACTTTTTCTTTGTACCTGGTACCATTCCGAATAATGCCACCTTGTTAACACGCAGTCGCCATGGCAGGGCTCTCGGGTCGGAGGTTTCAGTTGGTCACTGCAGTAGTGGTCATCTACTGGGACAGTCTGTCCTTTATGCACGGAATACTTCATGCAGTGGACGTCCAAGGACCTGTATCCTTGACCACAGTGGGATGAACATTCACTTTTGCCGACGATGTGCCACCTAGCGGGAAGGATGCTAATACACTTAGGAGGTGTGACAACTGATGCATCTTAAAAATCGAACTCAGAGAAGCTCATGCATACGATTCAGTTTTTAAAATTGTGTGAAAGTTGATAAGCAAGCCATCTGAAAATATTTTGTATGTCATTGAATTCTAAATAAAAAATTCTTAGAGATCATACTTTCATTTTATCGATGAGAAAATGAGTCCCAGAGGTGTTGTGTATTCAAATGGTATAAGCACTTGAATTTTTTTTTGTTAGAAATATTACTTTTTCCCCCAAAAAAACTGAACTTGCTCTCCACTTAGATAAAAATGAAGCTGGTCTGGTGAAAGCTGGAGATAGGAGCCAGCACTATACCTATTGACCCTGGCTCTGGGGGGTGGCTTTGCAACCCCAAGCTTTGCCAAAAACTTTTGAAAAGAACTGATTTAGATCAAGATTACCCAATTATTTAGTGGCAATAATTGTATGACTAAGTCTATAACTGAATATATCTGTCTCATAATCAGGTAGTGTCTTCCTAGGCAACCCTCTGTAGTTATGAATGGGGGATACTGAGGATCTGACTACTTAGACAAAGCCTTTGAAAGGTGGTAAAGGTTTTTGTAGAGCATGCCACATTTTCTTATTAATTCATGTGATCTACTCTTAGACATTTTCAGGGAAAACATTCTTTCCACAAGTAAAATCTTCAATTTTTTGCCAAATTATTCCGATTATGGTCCAGCAACCTATCAGGCAATAGTCGTGTTCCAGTATGACAAAGCATAGAACGCACGGAGTTCATCTCCATCCCCAACAGTATCTCAAGCATGTCATTGTGCCTCACTTCACTGCAATGCAGTGATGCAACTTATACGGGCAGTTCTCCCACAAAGCTTTCACTATATGCCTTCAAACGCCACCATAAACATATAAAAATTTTCATCCTTGCTGAGTGAAGGAGTTTCTGGCCATCCCCAATGTTAATTGTTACCCACTAGATGGGTTATTGTTCTTAGCTTCATTCTAAGACTAATCTCTCTCTCTCTTTCTCTCTCTCTCTCTCTCTCTCTCTCTCTCTCTCTCTCTCTCTCTCGCACACACACACACACACACACACACACACACACACACACACACGGAGCAAGGCGGCCAAACCCATCCTACCCCTCAGGGCCCACTGCTCGAGGTTCCCCCACCCAGACTTCGTGCAGGTCTGTGTGGCTCCCCACCCACCTGGAGATGGATTCCTCCAGGTGCCGGGCCTTCTGCTCATCCTCCTGCATCTGCCTCCTCATGTCTTTGTCCCCCTCTGAGGCTGAGGACGGAGTCCCCTCACACACACACACACACACACACACACACACACACACACACACACACACCATACACACAAAAAACCTATTGACGAGAAATTTAAGTTAGAAATGCAAACTTCCCCGCTATGGTCATGTTTCTTAATGCTTAATGGACAAAATTGATTTCTTTCTCTATTGATTCTCTAATCTTTAATAACTTTAAAAGTTCATTGGCTTATCAGTTATATGAGAATTACAAAATTATGCTACAAAATTTATTGTTTCAGATCCTAAACCATGGGTTTTCAGATTAGAGTTTATTTGTGTATATTTTACAGACAAATTTGTTTCTATTTCCTACACAAATATTAAGGCCTCTCTACTGGTATTCAGCAAATACTATGAACAAAAATTCAAACCAACTGCTGAGTTCCACCATAAGGCAGTGAGCCTGAAATTTCATAATGGCCTGGCAGGAACAGAGGATAGACATTAACTATATGCCCACTCTGGGCCAGTCACTGCACTAGAGGCTTTACATCTTCTCGATAATTTGCTTTACCCTGGTTACAGTATACATTGCTTACATTATTGCTCCTTTACCTTAGTTCACAGTCTGTATTGCATCTTTCAGTCACAAACAATGGAAGTGGTAGGTGGTCACATCTTTGATCAGGCACTACCATAAGATCACTCTTACGTATGCAGGTAATTTTTCTTCTATGAAGACCTTGGCCAATGTCAAATGAAAATTAAAGAGAAAACTCATATTAAGAAGATGTTCTGCAATTATTTAATTCTGATAGTAGCCTAAAGGATTCAGCTAAGAAAGCAAAACAATTCCACGCAGTATATAGGACAGACTAGCATATTAATCTAGTCAGGAATTACTTTCTATAATAAACTCAATCCTGAAAGACTCAGGGGTGTGCTTAGTGAAGAGATAAGAAAAGCGGGCAGGTATGAGTGGAGCAGATGGAAATGTATTATAGCTGGAAGGAGTGGTTGTGAGAGGAGAACTGAGTGGCCAGGTTGGCGCTGATGCTATACGGTACGCTATGTTATTGTTCTCCATTACTTGCTACCCTTTCCCCTGTAATAGAATTGCACATCTCCACTTGCCACAATGTTACTGTAACTTCCTGTGGGAGGAGCATGCTTCCCTGCCCATTGACATCGGGCTTATGCCAACCTACTGTAAGGGGATGTGGCCTATTCCAGTCCCAGGCAGAAGCTCTAAAGCCCTACATGTGTCTGCCTGCTCTTTCCTTCCCCTCCATCTCCAAGACAGCCCTCCCCAAATGGGCAGAGCTTTCAGCCTGGAGTCATGAATGAAAAAGGCATGGACAGATAGCAAAAGGTCAGTGGTTGTCAGAAGTTGAAGAGGGGATGGAGGGAGGGATTTCTTCAAGAGTGAAGGTATTCTTCATGATACTATAATAGTGAATACATGTCTCCATACATTTGTCAAAACTCATAGAATGTACAACAAAGACTGAACCCTAATGGAAACTATGGACTTTAGTTAATAATAATGCATTAATTGTACCAATTGTGCCATGCTAATACAAGATGTTAATAACAGGAATGGAGGTGGGGAGTGGAAGAAGAAAGACAGGAAATTTCTGCTCTATTTTTCTATAAACCTAAAACAACTCTAAAAATAAAGTCTATTGACTTGTTGTTGTTAATCCTCACCTGAGGATATTTTTCCATTGATTTTTAGAGAGTGGAAGAGAGGAGTGAAAGGGAAGAGACAGAGACAGAGACAGAGAGAGAGAGGTGAGAGAGATCCATCAATTGGTTGCCTTCCACACGTGCCCTGACCAGGGCCTGGGATTGAGCCTGCACTGGAGGTACATGCCCTTGACCAGAAGTGAACCCGGGACCCTTCAGTCCACAAGCCATCACGCTCTATCTCCACTGAGCCAAACCATCTAGGGGCCTACTGATTTTTTTTAAATGACATGGACACAGATATCAAACAAAGAAGAGTCAGCCAATTAAGAGCCAAAACAGTATGAGCAAGAAATAAACCTTTGTTGTTCTAAGCCACTGAGACTCATGTAACATAATCACAGCAAAAGTAAACTAAGAGAAGTGGTTGTAACGGGCCAGAGTACATTAAACTTCACACTTTCCGCACGGAGGAGACAGGAAAAAGTCTAAGCAGTCAGTGACATGATCAGATTTCTGTTTTATCAAAGTTCAAGGGCATACTTCCAGTTAGCTAAATGTGAACACACGTTTATCTCCACTCCTTCCTAAACACTAACTGAAATAACTCTTAAAGGCATATTGAAAAGGCACAAACCTAAAAGAACACAAAGACTAAAAAAGGAAACAAAGTATTGCAGGAAAAGGAAATTCTGAATATGAAAAGTAGATGGAAATAACTGTTTAACAAAGTCAAGAAAGCTGAAACTTAATCCTGAGTGGAGGGGGTAGGTGAATAAGAAACAAACCACTCATGCCATCGAATCCAAGAAAAGCCCAGAAATAAAGAAGACCAGGTTCCTCTGAGGCGGTGTGTGAGGGGTAGGCCTGAAAACAACGCAGAATTGATTGAAAAGTTTTTACAAAGAATGGTTCCACTCCTACCCTTCCTGTTGAAAGCAGCACTGTCCCACAAACACAGAATGTGAGCCACATATGTATTTTTACATTTTCTAGTATTCACATTAAAAAAGTAAAAAGATAAAGGTGAAATTAATATTTATATTTAACCCTTAAATATCTGAGAGATAATTTCAACATCTATCTATATATATAAAAGGCTATGCGACCGGCCCACTGGCCTACCACCACCGGCCGGTAGGTATGATGTGCATTGACCACCAGGGGGCAGATGCTCAACACAGGAGCTGCTGAGCAACAGCAACTTTGCAGAGTGCACTCCGGGACCCCTCGGGGGATGTTGGACAGCCGGTTTCGGCCCAATCCCCACAGGCCAGGCCGAGGGACCCCACCTGCCGGAGGGAGCCTGCTCACTCCATAGACACCCTTCAAGCCCCGGTGCCGCCCCAGGTGCGGCCAGCTGGGGAGGGACCACGGGAGGTTGGCTCCAGGGCGTGACTGGCCTGTCTCACCCAGTCCCACCCCGCCAGCCACCTTCTAATTAATTTCCTTTCAATGTGCATGAATCCGTGCACCAGGCCTCTAGTATCATTATAAAAATTATTGATGATATATTGTACGTTCCTTTTTTATGCTAAGTCTTCCAAATCCATTGTGTATTTCATAGAGAGCACATTTCAACAGACTAGCCTTGTGTGCCTTGTGGCTATCATAGCTCCAGAGAAGGTGAACCTGAGGGCACAGACCCAGCTGAAGGAAGCTGGGAAGCACTGCAATGAAGATAGGGGGTTAGGTAAAAGTCTTCCTTCTGAATGATGAGATCCAGACTGGACTGTCTTCATTTCTCTCTAGCTCCAAGCCAACTTTTAAGGTTCCCTGGTCCTCTCATTGACCTTCAGAAGATGGGAGGCCTCGCTGGTTTGGCTCAGTGTATAGAGCGTCAGCCTGTGGGTTGAAGGGTCCCAGGTTCAATTCTGGTCAAGGGCACATGCCCAGGTTGTGGACTCGGACCCCAGTAGGGGGCATGCAGGAGGCAGCCAATCAAAGATTCTCTCTCATCATTGATGTTTCTATCTCTCTCTCCCTCTCAGAAATCAATAAAAATATTTTAAAAAAAAAAGAAGAATATGGGAGAATTTCTCTCTTGGGAGACTCTTCACCCCAAGAGAAAAGATCCACTGACAATGACACTTGGGGGCATATCCCCAATGACATATAAAAAGGCTATTTAGTGACCCAATTACTCAATAATGAGGCCCCTACTTGACTTGTCTGACCCACACAGGACTTTCAGCATTTTAGTGTTAATAATGAAAAAGCAAGAAAGGATCAGCAGACATTTTAGGAAAACCAATAATACAGTAGAGACCAAAATAAAAATGCAACTAAAATGAAACAGGTATGTCAGGGAGCACAATAAAACTTGCAGACTAGGATTCATATTCTCAGAGACATGGATATTGTACCCATGAAACAAATCAAGATTTATGAGAAGAAATATTATGGAAACAATGTAAATAAGGAGAAGAAAATGGAAGATAAGTGATCAATCCAGGATGCTGAACATCCACATAATACAAATTTCGGGAAAATGGAAGAGAAATTTAATGTGAGAAAAAACTATCAAAGAAATAATGTGATAAATTTTCTCAAGCCAAAGGATATGTTTCCGAATTGGAATGGCATCCTATAAACCTAGGAAAATAGATGAAAGAAACACCCACATCAAGGCCCATTGTCCTGACATTTCACACCAGGAGAACTAAAGAGGGAATCCACAAAACTTCCACAATAGAAAGTATCACAGGAAATCAGAAAACAACCCAGAAAAGGAGGCTTTCAAAACTGTAAAGGAAAATAATCTAACTTAGAATTTTATACCAGCCAAACTATCAGCCAGGCGTGAGAAGAGAATAATGCCATTTTCAAATAGGAAAGGTCTCAAAAAACTATCTTCCTTTTCAGGAAAATACTGGGGGATATGATCTACCCAGTGGGTGAAATCAATCAAAAAGAGGAATTCATGGGATTTAGAAAACAGGAAATCCAACACAAAAGAAAGCCGAACAGATTTCCTTGAATAATAATGAAAGTAAAGCACAAGATGACAGCCATGTAACAGACTGAAAAAGCAACACTAATTAGAACAAGAGAAAAGAGGACCAGGGTAGCTATAAATGAAGAATAATTTAAACCGATAGATGAAACTAACAGACAAAATGTATAGTTCTCACCAAAAGTTTGGGGACTGTTAACTAACAGAAGAACAAGGAGACAAATAAAACTGAGGAAACTTAACTTTAGAAAAACCAAAAGTTACACACACACACAAAAAAGAGAGAATATTAATCATAGTATCACAATGTGGCAATAGTAGCTCCTTTTTCCTTGCACACAGTTGTATAAGAGACCTCTCCTGGTTCAGATCCCCCAAACCATCCGACCGTGTCTTGTCCAACCCTCCATTTCGGATCTTGTTATTCTTTGCTTGGTGTGTTCACATTTAGAACACTCCTTCATTCCCCTGTTCCATGGATGTGTTCCTAGCTTCCCACATTCACTGCCACGGACCAGCTCACCCATTCAGTCCTCAAAACCTCCATTCTCTCCTGTGAAGCACATGCAGGGTCTTCCTGGGGAAATGAATTCCTTCTCCTCTGTGTCATTGAAGCTCTCTCTTCCTACTGCCAGCATCTATTCCAGCCGGCCTGGCATCATCTTCCTCAGTCTCCACCCTCCCCTGAGACACAGCCCAAACAGGAGAACCTGGTTCCCATACAGCCATCCTGGGCGCCCCTGTGCCAACTCCACAGGGGCCGCAACTCCTTTGGCACCTTGACGTCATTGTGTTAGACTGTCCCTCCCATCCCCATCATCTGTGGTCACTGCTTCTGGCCACCCACCTTCTCTCAGCTCATGTCCATACTGTCCTTAGTAGCATCCTCTCCTCTGACCCACTGATCCCCTAAATCCTAAACGTCTCTCTAGTCCCCATGGGAACTCCTTTTCCGTTCTACACAAACTTCCCTGTACCTTCAGATGTAATCTCCTCATGGAGTGCTCCCTCCACCTTTTCTGTGGTCCTCTCTGTCTCTACCATTTATTTACCATTATAAAGTAAGGTCATCTACTCAGACTCTATTTCATCCACTAGACTTTACAACTTGAACACAGAATTGGGGTCTTATTAATAACCTGAAACAAAGTAGTCTCTCAATAAATGTTTACTGATTTGAACAAACAGTATTGCACAAATTACCTATCCTTAATTACAGAGCATTAAAGACGCCAGTCTTTTCATTTTCTGTCCCTACTGTAAACTTTCCATTTCCCACTATGCTCCTTTCAGTGATGCATGCTATCAGTACAAACATACATTTCTTGTGGCCACAGAAGGAAAAGAAAAGCATGAAAGAATGTTTGGCACTCTAGCACTAAAAGAAAGAGAAGGGGCTGGGGAAGTGTGTGGAGGGGGGTTATTTCACTGGGAAACAAGTTAGAGAAACTTTCTGTGACTGTGAGACAGAAACTGTGAAGAGAAAGGAAAGGAATGATAATGCAGAATGTTCAAATGGGTAGAGCTAAGTGAGGCTAAGTATAAAAAAAAATGAGTGAAGAGAAAAATAGGAAGGGAAAAGATAGGGAAGCTTTGTATGTCTGTGCGGTATACATGTGTGTGGACAGTGGGGAGAATTCTGCCAGACCAATACAAGTCAGACTCAAAAGTAACCCAAATTATACCCGCCTGCACAAACTTTTGTCTCTTTTAATGCCAGTGTACCTTGGCACATTCTGGTACAGTCTTGCCATGGTCCATATGGGTCCCACGTGAACTGGTCTCTCTTCTCTTCCACAGGGATATTGAAGGAATAACGTACATCAGGGTTGTACAAATTACCCACACACAAAACCTCAATACAAATGCACAGGAGCATACAATTAATTCATAAAAGACATATTCCTACAAGGTATCATTTTATTTTTAATAATAACCACAAAGCGCTTCATCATCACAGTTTACTAATATGATTAAAGCTAAGCCTTTTTAATGACTACTGAGAATTTACCTGCAAAACAAGTTCTTCTTCTAGCCGATCAGTACTGTTGATTCGTTCAGTTGAGCTGTTTGAACCACTGTATTCAAAAATGGCTCCTTGTACGTGGATTTCTTTCTTTGCCATACTTACAACAAAATTTCCATTCAAAAGAAAGTTCCCTTGAGTGTCAGATAATGCTGTAAAAGAATGGTACTCATGAAACAGCAAAACCAGTCACCAGCACAGGAAATTTTTTAACTTTTAAAATTCAAATCCTTTTGAAATGAAGAAAGTAAATACTTGAGTCGATAAACTTTGTTACTACAATGTGGTACCCTTTATTTTACTACAATGGAGGGACCCCTCAGCCCTACACTTTTCTATCTGCGGTGGAACCTTCTTCTGCAATCGTGCAGCTTCGGGAGGACATACAAAAGTGGGAAAACAGAAAGAAGCCATGGGCCCAGCAGCAAGATCAGCTAAAACAATCCTGGCCATCAGTGGCAAGGAAAGGAAGAGCCGCTGAACTGCGGCAACATTCCATTTACACTTATCTTGGAAAAAATGTACACAGCTTTAAAACTGTAAGGTCAGAAAAATAAAAAATAATTTTTTTAACTTTAGGGTCAATGTTCGAAAGGCATGTGATGACTACACGATTCTCTATATAAATGCCTGGATCTTTTTCATGGAGACGCATGCTGTTATTGTGCGTAAATTGCTTTATGCATTTTTAATTTTCAAGAGGGTATATAATATGTTAAATTTTACACTAACAAAAATGCCATATTAACCAAATCCTTTTTGCGGCTTTACTTATATTATAGTTCCCAGCTGAACAATAGCCTGTTTGGAAAACGTTTGTTTGGTCTTTCAAGGAACCTCATCTAGGACATACAAGTTACCTGTATGGCTAATTTCATAATAAATTCTACACCCCTTGAAAAAGCTACCTAGGTATTTATCATTTTGATATTTCTCTGTCTGTATGGACTATTATGAGTGTCTTTATATACTCCACTAAATTCAATGAAGAACCAATAAAGTTCTACATTTATCCTACAAAATGGAAATTGCCCCATATAAGTCTGCACTTTGGCCAAAGTGGGTAGGCCTATTTAAGGAAGTATCAGTTACATTAAAACTAAGGGAAATGAGTAGAACATGACTGAGAAATACTGTATACATTTTACTACTTTTAGTTACCAAAGCACATTTCATAAATACATGTTTTAGAAATATCTTCTTGTTCGTTTTTGTTCATTTCAATTTAGATTTTAATATTGTCACTAGCAGTTCTCTTGCAAAGCATTTTGCTATTTTAATGGTGAACATTTCTAATTTTTAAACTTGGGCATTCCTAGGGAAGATACAATATCTATATTTAGAACCTAAGAGAGAGATATTAACTAAATGTAAAAGACTAATCAAATTATTTACACTTGATTTTCTTTGAGAATATTTTTGCAGTTTTACAAAAATTTACATAACATAAAATTAACCATTTTAAAGTGAACAATGTTGCACAACCATCATCTCTATCAGTTCTAAAACTTTTTCGTCCCCCCCCCCCCCCGCCCCCCCGCCGGCCCCAAAATATCCTGCATCCACTAAGCGGTTGTTCCCTTTACATTTGACTTTATAATGTCAAATGCAATTCCTGAGATAAGCTGTTCATTATAGAAGCAGATCCTCAGTTATAAACATTGATTATTTGAGCCAGCGTTTCACATTTCATTAATGTGAAGCAGGTACTTTCTGAATTTCAGCTCTACACCACCTACTCTAGCTTGGTGAGTCATACATAATTCAATATTAAAGTGTTTTTCAGGTAGAAGAAAAAGGATTGTAAAGCATTCTCTTCATCTTTGGGCCTAAATGAAATTCCTTAAACCTAAAAGCTACTTTCTAAAAATAAGTAAGAAATGAAATCTATACTCTAGAAATAGCTAAAGGACAATATACTGTAACTAAATATTCATTAACATCTAAATATATGAATCCATAGTTCTTTTCTTTAAAATAAAAACTTTTTAAAAACTGTATATAAATCCTTTTACTACATGGCAAAAGAGAATTTAAGAAAATTCTTTAAAACATCAAACCTCAAACAGGTCTCTAATTTTATATTAAAAGATAGAAGAGGATTTTATTTTAAATATGCATGCAACTTTAAACGTAACCTTTATGGTTATTTAAAGCACTCTCGTGGGGAAAATTTCAAATTTACTTTTCAGAATTTAGTTCCATATTTTTCAAATAAGAATCAGTGTATAGTTCAGAAGAAAACATGTATCTGGAGTCAGAAGACTCAGCTCAGTATGAACTGAAATTGCATGTTTTTTCAGGGGTCTCTGCTTGCCTTCCAAGAATTTACATTAACCGCAGACCTCCATGAAATCGCACACGAACCACATATTGGTGCTGTTTACTAGAAATGTTTACCAAGGTAATTGTCATCTGCTGGTGTTCCAGAATAGCTGTGCTGAAGAATATCAATGTTGGTTGCTCCTGCGGGAATCTTTACGACAACATTATAACCTACAATATAATTTTATACATGTTAACTTTCACACACAAAAAAACAGATGGTCCAGAGGCTATTACTGCTGAATCATTGAAAAATTTCAATAGTATAGTCAGACTTAATTTCATTTTATCTTTGATAAATGATACCAGTGCTTACTCTTTTTAAATCAATGCCTTATACAAATTGCTAAGAATTGAGAAAAAGTAGTTGTCGTCTAGAAACGTAAGAGAGTTTGGGATTCTTAAAAAGTACAAATCCTAATTTTTCTTACTTCTAAAATTCTGAGTATAGAATAAGAATGAAGCTAGTATGCTACATTTTACATTTCCTAACGTGTTTTTTTAATGCAATATTCCAAATGCTATCCACAAATCCAAAAGATATCAAAATAGTTGGGCATTACTATATGTGTACAAGAAACTTAGTAAAGAGCAAAATAATGTGAGTTAATGAGAAGCATATTTTTTAAGCTTTTAGTCTCTAGTATAAGCAGAAATCCCTATAGGTACCCCCAACATTTTACATTATTGTCAAGAGAAAAGTAAAAAATTTACTTGAGAGAAATGAAAATAATATTTCTATTTTATGAGACCTAATTCACCAACACTGGCACTGCTCAAAAGATGAGGAAACACTATATTAAATATATATTAAGAAAGAATGGAAAGTTTTGTATGCTAAAACTACTCATGTTACACAGTTCATAATTATCTAAACATTCTCATTTGCTCTAGTGATATTAATTCTAAGTTTTTCCTTTTCCTTATAGAATTTTCCTTTTCTATTTAATACATGCATAAATGGAGTTGATATTTTTCTTGTACACTAACTTTGATAAATATGGAATGAATTTAAAAAGGAGAAGTTTAAAAGAGCTTAAGTCCGACATGAAATTACCTTGCATGTTTTTAGAGCAGCCTTATTTATATCTCTCTAAGGCATCACATTGAAATATAAGGTTTGATGATTCTGTATGCACTATATAGATATGGTTGCAGGCTATCAGTCTAGAAGACTAATTTTAATCCATGATTTTTTACTATAAAATATTCCTACGACCTTCACTATTTGTCTTTGCTATTATACATTTTTCAAGAAGGCAATTCCTAAGCATGGCAAAAGTGACAAGATGAAGGCTACCGCCAGGGGGCAGTGATGTGACAATGCTATTTAGAGCATACAAATGTATTTAACATCTTTTTCCATTTGCAAACTGATTAATTCATAGTAAAATTTGGTGCGTGTGGTTCTATACAGAAAAATGTTTTCCAGTGAATACATATCAGACTGATAAATATGGGCCATTTATTATAAAAAAGGGGTCAAATATGTATGGCTCCAATGAAATAATGAATCATAACTACAAAAATAAATCAGATCATCTGGTAACTAGGATTTGTAAGTATCATCATAGCATGAAATGAAGTATACTTTTAATATAAATAAAAAAGTAAATTTTGTTTTAAAACATATTTCTTTAAATGAAGCATTCATACTAACTTAACTGTGCTCGAACATATGTGAATATAATTTAAAGCTGAACAATAAAACTGTAAAAGTAAATTTTTATTTTGCAAGGAAAGTTTTAAAGGGTTGCTTTCATTACCATAAAAAAGAAAAAAAAAACATTTCCCAGACATTTTTAGAATAGAAAAAAATCTGCTATATTCTCTTAACAATTTTGAAGAAAATGAAATCATGGCCAAATATCAGTTACATCTTATAATACAAATACTTCCTGGAAAATCAAATGTAATAATAATTCAAAATCCACATTTAAGTTAATGTTTTCATCCTTCCACCTTCAATCAACATTTTCAATATGTCATCAATAAGAAGCACAACATATAAAAAAAAAAATTTGGTTCAAATAATGAAAAATAATTAAAAGCAAGTTTCAATTTTCAATATGTCATCAATAAGAAGCACAACATACAAAAAAAAATTGGTTCAAATAATGAAAAATAATTAAAAGCAAGTTTCCTGGAAACATCATAAATACAGTATACATTAGGGATTATAGGAACTGCAGTAAGAACACATTGCTAACTGGGGGGACTATTCACACATCATTGTCAAATAGCAGTGGATTTACTCTAATAAACGCACCTAATAATTTCTTTTAAATGCATTTGCCTTTAGCAGGTGAATTCACTAATTCAATGATAAATCTGGTATAAGATTTAATCTTTTATATTTAGGAAATTTTTCTTTAACTATCCTTTTTTTTAAGTTTCATGGCTTGTACTTTATATTTTTAAATTTATCTTTATTGTTGAAAGTATTACAGATGTCCCCTTTTTTTCCTCCATTGACCCTCTCCACCCTGCTCCCACCCCCTAACAATCAATTTTAATTAAGGAAAGAGAGTAGACAAAACAATAACAAACCATTACTCGTATACCTTCATCACATATACCATTATTACACCAAATAAAAGAAAAAACTAGAACCAGATACACAGCTTACCATAATGAGCACTGTTGAAGACTCCTGACATTGTCCTGCATGATGAATTATCGCCACCACACACACCACATTTGTCTCTCCTGGCCTTGGAATTTAACACATGATCACAACCAGCTTGCTTCAAAATACAATAAATCAAATCAATGTTATAAAAATGACTCATGATAAACATGGTGCTTTACAAAGTTCATTCAATTAATAGGAGATTTGATACAGCAGGATTTTTTTCATAATATCTACTGATCTTTTCATATGCCAATATTTTCACATATCTGTTCACCTGGTTGAAAAAGCAGTGTTTTTCAAAGAGTCATCTACATACCTCCTGCATCAAAATCACATAAAGTGGCACTTAAAAAGGCCACCAGGGAAACCTTAAAGGTGAAACCTAGGAATCCACATTGTAACAAACAATGACTGATTCCTATATCCCTCATTTGAAAACCACTCTTTAAATAAATGTCATTCAAGAGGCACAAAAAATATGACTATGTAAGTAACACATTAAAATAACCCCAGCCCTGGTCAGTGGCTCAGTTGGTTAGAGCATCATGCTGTACACTTTTAAAAGGTTGTAGGTTCAATTCCCAGTCAGGGCACATACCCAGATTGTGGGTTCAGTACCAGTTGAGGTGCGTACAGGAGGCAACCAATCAATGTTTCTCTCTCACATCAATTTTTCTTTCTTTCTCTCCCCCTTTTTCGCTCTCTCTCTAAAATCAATAAAAACATATCCTCGGGTAAGAATTTTTAAAAGTAACTCCAAAGAGATGTCTTTCATGATTCATTTTTTTAAAACTCATGACATTAGAATTCATAATAAACTGAGTACAATTGAAAGAAAGTTTATTTATCCAAAACTAATATCCAGCATAATAAACAGGGTTTATGAAAACAATGAATACATAAGTAAAAGGTAAAAGTAAATGGTTTGTTCTAGAGGTTTAAAAGAACAAATGCAGAAGTGTCTTCTACATATGCAGCAATAACTTTTAGTTCTCTGGACAAGTCCTCTAAATTTGGTGATTGGAAAAGTAAGAAAATTTCATAAACCTCATGAATTTTTATATACAAGGCAAATATTTGAATTTTAAAAATTTCAAGCAGATAGTTTCTGAAAGTAGTATGCATCTATACATGTTCACGTAATCATATTTTTTTCATTTTATATGACTTTCTGCTGATAAATTAGATTCAAAAATTTTTCAGGCCACTGAGTACCCGTTTTCTAGTATTTAAGGTTTTTCCAATGTGTAAGTTCCTTTAAGTTCCTTTAAACATCTCATTAGCACCTTGTGTGCAACCCCTCTGTCACCTGGTGACTGGCAATAGATGTTTGGTTATAGGGAGAACTCGGTCCTATTAAGTTACACTTAACCAAAAGAATGAGTTCATAAAATTTCACTTGTATTCTCTAGACAGCATTCACTATCCTGGTTTTCAAGTTCATCACCATTTTTAAGATCGCCACGTGCAGTATGTGTGCTTGAATTCAGGGTCTCATCTGCTCTCACCTAAAATCCTGCTAAATGGCCCACCCATCTCCAATCTTCTCCTAACCCAGTGCATTCTAAAGATTCTGACATGCAAATCAAATCACATCTTTTTCAATTCCAAATCCTAAAGATCTCCAAGGACTTTAGGGTAAAAGTGCATAGAACAACCATTAGTTAGCCCCTATCTCACCTTATATCCTCACCTTTCTAAAACCTTCATAATTAGCTCAAGCCTCACATCCTCCATGAGCATTCTTCAAAACCTTTACCCACCTCCCCCTAATTAAGACATTCCTTCCCCAATATCCCCAAGCCTCCTTGCAGATGACTCCATTGTAGTGCATTATAATTGTTTGCCTGCCTATCTCCCTCACAAATCTGTGACCACCTTGGAGGTTAGTACTCTGTTCCATCCTTTTATCTGACATCTAGTAGGTTCTCAGTAAATGTTTGAAGCATTTACCCAAGAATTAAGAAACAAGAATGGACAGAGGGAGGGAGGATACCACTGCTTCTAACACTGAGGGGATAAAAAAAGTCACCACAGAAGGTCACACTTGAAGGATAAAAGGACTTTATAACCCTTGTGTCTTAATATTTTTTATCTTTTTAGAAAGTTGACCTCATCCCTTATCTTGATTTTGAGTACCATACACAAAACAAAATTGGCAGACTTACCTTAATGCTTCACGAGTTACTCTTCATGGCAGAAAATCACCTAGTAAACAAAGTCTCCTAGTGATACTCCTACAGATAATGTGGTTATCACCAAAGGTTGCCATATTGGATTCACAAAAATGTGTTCTGAAGTAACAGAAGTCATAGTCTACTGAAAGCCACGTTAAATAGAATAAGTTTACTCACCCGACACAGGCCTTGAACACAGATGTCGTTAGTTTCAGTTCCACAAGGGGTACCATCGGCAACCCTATCCTTCAACTGGTAGAAGTTAGTGGTTCCAGCAACCCGACAGTAGAGTTTACAGCGATCTTTTATGGCAACTATAAAAAAAAAAGTCAAAGTTTTGCCATACAATAATGCAACTGTTTGTTCCTAGGACTCAAAAAAGATTCACATCAAAAATATTCTAACTACTTACTCCCACTGTACTTTGGAAGCCATCTCACGTTAGGGGAAAGACCATTGATGTTGAAATGTTTACCATCAAAATCAGAGCACTGCTTCTCACGAAAGTCTTGCTTTCCTTTTGGACAGGAATCAGTATTACATGATCGAAATTTCATCCTGCGGCCCACACAGTACTTGCCTCCGTTTCTCGGCCTAGTCAAATTCATTACATTTTAAAGCACATCAGTACAATATTATTTTTGTCGTTTACCTCTACAATTGTTTCATTTCTTTCCATGATGTCCCACTAACACTTTGAATATAACACAAGTATGTAACATGGTTTTAAGCAATCCCATGGCTAATAACCTAAAAATATCCATCTTGGTGGATGCTGTGGCCTAGAGGAGAGAAATGATACCTTATTCATGATTTGATTAACTAACAAGGAACTATGATGAGAATTTCTTTTAAAATTTCAAAAAATGGTTCGTTTGCCCAGCCAGTGTGGCTCAGTGGTTGAGTTTCCACATAAGAACCAAGAGGTCAAACTTTGATTCCTGGTTGGACACAATCCCCAGTGGGGGATGTGCAGGAGGCAGCCAATAGATGATTCTCTCTCATCATTGATCTTTCTATCACTCTCTCCCTCTCCCTTCTTCTCTGAAATCATTAACAATATATTTTTTTTAAATGGTTTGTTCATATTCTGGGTGGAAAATGAGCCAAACATGATTTAAAAAAAGATAATACCATGTTAAAAAAAAAAGAAATATACATGTGTGTTTGTCATAGATCTACTTATCACTTAGTTCAACAAGTTTCATGGTATCACTCTATATCCATCCAACTTATGCTGGAAAACAAAAACTCTTTTCTCAGCATTTTTAAATATGAAGACTTGTAGCACAATTTAGTTATTCTAAAATTCAAATGAATTCAGATTTTATTCAGAATATGTCATATTTCTGCGTTAAAAAATTATTGGTAATAGATTTTAAGTGAAAAGTGTCATACTGCTTACCAATTTACATATCACATAACAATAGAAAAATTATTTTAAAATCTTTATGGAATCTCTAAGTTCTTTTAAATAATGAGAGGAGATATGCTTCCGTACTTATTCAAGCTAAAGACATGAATGCATCTCTAACATAATAGGTAAAGAAAGAAAAAATAGCTTGTTGAATTACACAAATGAGTAAAAAACTGGTAATGAAACTACATGTCTTGTCCAGGACAGCCAAAACATAGTTAAAAGGGGAAAGTAGCTTTCAACAGAAACACTAAATGTAAAAAATGCCATTATATTACTGTCATTATTTATAACTATTTCTCAGATTCACACTAAATCAGAAAAAAGAAGGCTCTGTCTCAATTCAGATTCTAAAGGTTATTTTTATCTATCAGCTTTTTAAAGGTCTGAATCTACCAAGATATAAAGTAATATGGCTTAAAGTGTCCCAGAAGTTTTCTGAATCTCAGAAACTTACAGACTGACCTCCAGTTTAGAAGTGAATGAAACTGCTGTTTAGTTTCTGGTGCCTTGAGATAATCTTAATTTACAGTGACATAAAAAGGACATACTCGGGGCGATTACAGAGCCTGGTTGTGCTTTTGATTCCACCTCCACATGTTCTTGAACAAGAACTGTAAGGTCCCCATGGTCCCCATTCACCATCTACAGGACGTGTTTCCATTTCTTTGTTTACACACAGCCCATGGTGGCAATGCTATAAAAATAACACAAAGAAAAGTGATTCATGTAGATCTAGTGAGAACACTATAGTAACTATAAGAGCAGCAGAAGATCAATAGAAGAACAAAATGTATACAATTTAAAGCAAAATGTTTATTCAGATGTGATTACATTTAATGCCATGTTATTGAATATTTACTGAGTATCTATCAAGTAACTAAGATTTATGGAATGCAAAAAGAATTTAAAAGTTCCCCCTGCCTTTAAGATTTAGAGTCTCCTTAGGGTAGGGAAGACCTATACATATTGGAAAAACTTAGTAAAATAAAAAAATTAAAGCAAATATTAGATTAATACGGTATTTATCCATGCTTTTTTTTAAATGCAGTTATCTATCCCTCACTCTTTGACCTAACTTTCCACTCTATCTCCTCCAAAGCCTCAATGATCACTTGTTTTATACTTTCATCAAGAAAATGGAAACTTGCAGAAAAATCTGTCAATCTCCCAGCAGCCCTTCTACCCACCCATCAGCGTCTGTGCCTATTTATATACATGAAAAATCCAGGATCCTAGTCAAAATTAATCCCTCCATTTATCCACTTAATCTCAGCCCTTCTCACTACTCAGAACATGACTCAGCAATTGTCTCATCTCCCCTGTGTCATTGCTGTTCCAGTCTCTAGGACATGAAAGCTAATGCGGTTCATGTGCTGATGCTGGTCTATGAATTAGTCACTATCAGCCTGTGAGAAGATGAGCACAGAAATTGTGAGGGAGCATTTAGAAACTTTTGTAAGAGTTTACAGAGAAAGTTTATGTTTATTAAAGTTAATAATTTAAAAATAAGCTTATATTGGTTTTGTTTATAATTTAATGTTAATTTTTATTATTAAAATAAAATTTACTATTTTAACCATTTTTCAGTGTACAGTTCAGTGGTATTAACTACATTCACATTGTTGTGCAACCATCCAAAATGAAATCTTTATCTTCCCTAACTGAAACTGTACACCCATTAAATAATAATTCCTCATTCTCCACTCCTCCCAGCCCCTGGCAACCACCGTTCTATTTTGTTTCTATGAATCTGACTACTCAGGATATCTCATAAATTGAAATCATACTGTGTTTATCTTTTTACGACTGGCTTATTTCACATAGCATAATGTCTTCAAGATTCACACACATGGCATGTGCCAAAATGTCCTTTTACAAAGGCTACATCTGGATGGTGGGAACACAGTGCAATACACAGATGATGTATCACAGCACTGTACACTTGAAACCTATATAATATTAACCAATGTCACCCCAATACATTTTTAAAAGGCTGAATTATATTTCAAGGTATGTAAATACCATATATTGTTTAATCATCTGTTGATTGACAGTTGCGTTGTTTCACTTTTTGGCTACTGTAAATAATGCTGCTACAAACATGAGTGTGTAAATATCTCTTCAAGACCCTATTCTCAATTCTTTTGGATATATATCCAGCAGTGGTATTTGGGTCTCATAATAATTCCATTTTTAAATATTTTTAGAAACCACAATTTTTTTCCAGTAGGAAAACCTGGCTTACATTTTGGAGGTCTTCTTTTTTTTTCATTTTCCTAGTCAACCGTTTTTATCATTTTGTACAAAAAAATAATTTGAAAATGTTTTATTTTAAAGAAGACTGGTCCTTTAATTGAGACAGTTTGAAAATACTCTAGAATATTCTCTTTAACATATAAACATACTCTTTTTCCTGCCACTTTAACAACAATAACCAAAAAACAACAACTTTTCATAGACCTCACTTCCCTAACCAGCTACTGTTCTGTTTATGCTCATTGTCTATCTCTCTCTGCCTATTTCCCCACAATCTCACCTTAGCCAAGCTTTATACCAACTTCCATGGCTCATGTGTAGGCCTTTCACAATGTATAACCAATGGCTAGGTCTCAGTCTCTGTTTTCCTTGACTTAGCAGTATGTGAATAGCTAATTATGATTCCAGATACATTATTTTTCTGTTAGTTTCCAGAGCTCCACACTCTTGGTTTTCTTTCTTCTTTAATGATTACTTTTTCACAGTTTCTTTTACTATTTCTTTTTCTCCAACCTCTTAACATTGGAATGTCCCCAGGTTTAGATCCTGGCCCTTTATTCTACTCTATCAACAATCACTCCCAGTCCAGATCTCTCTCCTGATCTCCTGACTGTATACAACTGTTTCCTCCTCTTCACTTGAATGTCTAATAAACATATCAAATGTAGAAATCAAACTCCTGCCCTGCCCCCTCAAAATAGCTTGAGTTGATCTAAGTTGATCATATAGCAGACCCTTAATAAATCATTGCTGAATGAATGAATACTATAAGCAATTTTATTAGGAGAAAAAATACTTTGTACTCTTCATTAGAACAAATCATTCAATAGAAAAAAGCCATATTAGGAGTGAACAAAAGCAAAATCTCTGTATAGACTGTACTATGTGCATGTACATTTTGTTGGCATCTTCCAGAAATAGTTCAATAGTCCCTGCATGCATTCTTGTGTATGCGTGTGTTACGGGGTGTATGTGTGGGGTGGTGGTGGGGGGGGGAGAGAGAGAGAGAGAGAGATCAGAGAATGAGAAGGATAAAATGTTATACTAGACACCATGTAGTAAAATCAACTCACTGTCAGAGGGGTTCATCATCTATAATAATAAAAGTGTAATATGCTAATTAGACCAGATATCCTTCCGGACGTCCTTCCTGATGACCTTCCGAATGAAGCTGGGGCTGCAAGGGAAGCCCAGGTCCCAGGTGCCTGCCGGCGGCCGGAGGGAAGCCCGGGTCCTGGGTGCCAGAGGAAAGCCGGTGCCGACAGCCGGGGGAAGGAAGGCCTACTGTTGCACGAATTTCAGGCATCGGGCCTCTAGTGTTTTCATAAAAATGAATGTATTAACAGACCATCTCACATGTAAGACAGTCACAAGATAAATGGACTAAAGAAGAGTGTTAAGGCAACATTACGGGACATTTGTTTAAAATTTCCCTTAAATAAATAATTCATTTAATACAGGACATTGCTAATGCTAATGCAATATAAGGGCTCACTATTTTCAATTAATTAAAAAGGGAATTTATTCCTATCATGATCTCCATGTAGTTACCCCAAACACTACCTCTGCTTTCAATCTACATGGGCTTTAAAGCAGGTCTCGGTGTCTCATCACATTTGCCTTAATTCCAACGAATTCATGCCAATCATACCACATCATAGGGAGATATATTCAAATGGCAAACAAACACATGAAAAGATTCCTAAGATTGGTAATAATCAGTGAAATGTAAATTAAAACCAGAATAAGATTCCATTTTATACCCACTAGAATAGCTAAATTTTTGTTAAAATACTTGCATATCAAAAATTGGCAAAGAATGCAGAGCAACTAGAACGTTCAGACATTGCTTATAGGTTCTAAAATGGTACACATATTTTGGAAAATTGTTTGGCACTCTCCTATGAAGTCAAACACACACCTGCCCTACAACCCAGAAGTTTTACTCTGGATATTTATCCAAGAGAAATGTAAATATATGCCCATAAGAAAACCTGTATGAGGATGCTCAGAGCAGCTTTATTCATAACAGCCAAAAGCTGGAAATGATCCAAATGTCCATCAACTGGAGACTGGGTAAACAAATTATGGTGCACTTGTACATTTGAATTATATTGCAACATAAAGGAATGAAGGTCTGATGCATACAATAATATGGATGAAACTCAAAAACATTACGTTGAACAAAAGAAGCTTGACCCAATCTCCACCCCCAAAGGGTACATTACATAGTTCCATTTGTATTAAATCAAGAACAAACAAACTAATCTATGGAGACAGAAACATGAACAGGAGCTGGTTCTGGAGAGAAGGGAAATTGTCTGCAAAGAGTCAAGACTGAACTTTTTAGTGGGGATGTTGGCTATGTATGCATCTACATTTGATAAAACCTTCCAAGCTGTACATTTAAGATAAGTGCATGTGACTCATATTTCTCAATTTAAAAAAAAAATGTTTATGCCTGAACTGGATTTAGACTGTTCAATAAATTAGTTATACATAATGTATCTCTTGATATTTATAAATATATCAATTACTATTTTAGCCACATGTAATCAAACATGAAGGTCAACAGGATATAGTAACTTTAACATTTGTTACAGCACTAGATTTGAATCTGGTGAACGTCTTGGAGTAAGTCTTCTTTCTAATATCAACAGCCCCGTATTCAAACTTCAGAGATGTCTTTTGCTCTACTCACGTTCAGATAATCAGTAACTCAACAAATGCCACTTCCACCTCAAAAGGAAAAGCTAATTATGAATACTAGTCACAAAAAGTGAGAAAAAATAGTCTTTTTGATAATTCTTACTCTCAAAATATAAATTTTAGATAAAATTCAAATTTTAAAATTTAGTTCCACTTTAAATCTATAAACTGAAGAATTCCAGTAGAATTTTGATCCTCAGATAATTTGAGTGCAAAACCACTTCAATGAGTACTTCAGGTTACTATAAAAATTGCTGAAGTTTCAAATTAAACTTCAATAATTCATTTGTAATCTGAGTGGTATTTATGGGAAACACATGCCTTCGGATGGAAAAGTGACGCAAGAAAAGGGCAGTAGCTGGTACAAACATTTCACTAAAGCAGCAGGTGGTAAAGACACGAGGTCAGCTAGTGAACTGAACTTAATTTGAAGTTCTTACTTTTGCATAATGTGAGCTTTGGCAGCACTAGCTAACCCACTGCCAAGAAGTGTTCCTTTTGCATGGGGTAGCTCAGAGGAGGCTGACTACAATTTGTTGAGTACAGTCAATATTTGACTTCATGCTGGAGCACCAAGTACAATCTGAATTCATCTTCACATACAACACGTTTCATGATCATGGTGAGCCCTGTCACTCGACATCACCCTGGCAGATTTACTGATGTTAGAATGGTAAAGATGCAGTATGGCAGGCAGTTTATTGTAGGAATATAATGTATTTCAATATAATTAGGACCAACAAAATCCAAAGGAGACACTTAAAACTTTCAGTTATACTTAACTGAATTTTATGGGAGAAAAATGTATGAAATCCTAACATCCTCAAATTTGGAGATTTGCTGAAATATTAGGGCCTTCATGTCTACACTCATCTTTAATAACAAAACTATAATATACTTAGATAACTATACCTACACATGAATTTATCTTTCTGATAACTATATGTAATTTTAATATTCATCTGCTAGATCTTGAAAAACAGGGGAAATTATAATTTTAATTCACTAGACACTATTCTACATAAAAAACCATGGCAATAATATTAAATCAACTAGCAGAACAAAAGTTGACAGCAAATGATGAACAGTGCTGAAATGCAGAGCAATCACATCCTCTGATAATCTTTCGATACAAGACTCACCCTTGGAGAAAACCTACCATCCCAGGACCACAGTTGGTTCCGTCTGCCAGGGGCATGTGCTGAGTACGACAGCCCTTGTGGACTCCTTCTGCACTCGTGCACCAGAGACGCCTGCACTGTTTCTGCAGAGGAACCGGAGCAGGCAAGCAAGAGTGAAAATGATGCCACAATTACCTGATCAAGTCAATATAATGCATCAGTTCACAAAATGATCTTATGTAATTCCTGGTTTCATGGTCACAGCTGGAAATAATCAGCAAAAAATCTTTACTGCCCAGCCGGGGTGGCTCAGGAGTTGAGCATTGACCTATGAACCTGGAGGTCATGGTTTGATTCCAGTTGTGGGCTCAATCCCCAGTAGGGGGCGTGCAAGAGGCAGCCTATTGATATTGATGTTTCTTTCTCATTGATGTTTCTCTCTCTCCCTCTCCCTCCTTTTCTGAAATCAATAAAAATATATTTTTTTTAAAAATCTTTACTAAGTTTTAGCTCTTGATTTTCCTCTAAATACATAAAATTGCAGCATTTAGTATCCTTTTTTTAACTTTTAGATTTTCATCATGCATTGAACAATGGGAGAGATGAATTGGAGTGGAAATATTCAAAATTATGTGAGGCATTTTTCTCTCTTTGCAAGATATTTTTCTAAAGGACTTTTTGTTGTTAAATGTTATTCACAAAGAGTTTCCAAAAGCCCTCTTTGATCCAATGGAGGAATGTATGAATAATGTGCATAGAAATACTGTATAATGTATACTGGTTTCCTATTTTGTGAATATAATGCAGACTTTCAACTTTTGAACAAAGGGTTCTGAAGTTTTCACAAGAAACAAAAATCTATGGAGGCTCACAGGAGGTATACACATGATAATTTCTTTCTTTTTCTGATTTTAAATTCAAAGTTTGTTTAGTGTCTAAATCAGGTAGGAAGAAAGAAATGTGGCTTCTATGTAAGAAATTAAGGTAAATCTCCCCCTTCCATAGTGGATGTTTAAAGGCTTATGAAAATCATGACTATGAATTTAAGACTTTAGGAACAATATGCACTATGTGGAGTATGCCTTGTATGTCCCTGCACTCACTGTTAAGTACCTTTCATTCATTCATTCAACATTCAATAAGCATTTACTCTATGGCAGATATTATGTAGCAGATCATTATCTTTACTTAAATGAATGAATATGGTTGCATTTCTGGTCCAATGATTCTCACAACCTAGTACTGTATCTACCTTATGAAAAATCCTAAAAACAACTTATAAATAGTTTAATGAAAACTAAACAACAGGCTCCAAATTTCATTTCTTTTGATTTAAATCTACATAAATTAAAATGCAGTCTATTATATTCCTGGGTCTTTTAAAACAACTCATCAAAATACAAAAATGTCTCACATAATTTTCTTCCCATGTCTGAAAAAAATAATATCACTTGAAAGTAAATATTTAAAATCCTGTTAATTTTCAAAACCTCTCTGTGACTTTGCTTCTAAATGAGAATACTTCATAGGATTTTGTGAAAATTAGAGATAACTTTTAAGCACCTGATATAGTACCTGGCATATAATAATTACTCAATGAATTTTAGTTTCTCTTTTTTTAAGCCCCTTTCTGACAAACACCAGATTTTTCTAACACTTAAAAACGTTTAAGATATATTTAATTTACCTTCTGTTAAAGAGAATATACACTTTGAAATATATTCTAACTACAACTTTATGGTAGTTTTCAAACAAAAAGCCAAAATTTTTCTTACCAAATAGGGACACACTTGTGATCCAGGACCAAACATAAGTTCACACTGCTTGTTTACATCATACATTAATCCAGGAAGTTGTGAGGACAGATCATATATTCTCCCATTTGGTTTGTCAAGGAGGCAGTCCCCATGACCAGTGCTGTACCAATGACAGAAGATGAAATATTGTGAATATACATATATGCATGTCAGTATATGATTCTTCATCACATTTTTTGTAGTTCTTTATTTCCAAAGAGAAAATCAGTATTTTTTCATAATTTAAAACCCAGCTCAAATCAAAGTCAGTAAGAAAATCTCAGAGTTTACAAAGACTTCTGATGTGTTTATTCTCATGTGAGACCCACTAGTTCCTTTAAGATACAATTAAAAAAAAAAATATCCCGACCAGCATGGCTCAGTGGTTGAGCATCTATGAACCAGGAGGGGATGGTTCGATTCCCAGTCAGGGAACATGCCAGGGTTGTGGGCTCAATCCCCAGTAGGGGGCATGCGGGAGGCAGCCGATCAATGACTCTCCCTCATCACTGATGTTTCTCTCTCCCTCTCTTTTCCTCTCCGAAATCAATAAAAAATATATATTAAAAAAAAAAGACAAACCCATCAGAATATAATTTAGAAACGAATATTCATATGTTGATCACATGGTACTTTTGGTCTATTCTGCAATCCAATAGTAATGCCTTATATTTAATGCCCCAAAAGTCAAAATGTAAAAATAGAAATAAGCTTTCAAATCATTTGAGAAAACACATTTATATATCTGAACAACGAATCAAAAAAATTTCAAACAGTATTATGCTGTCTCCATCTCAAAGGGGTTAAGAAAGGAGTACAACACAGAGACAGAATGGCAGGTTTGGGAGTTGGCTTTCGGTTCCACCACTTCCCAGGATGCATGGCTGTGGACAAGCTATTTCATCTCCCTGAGCCCTAAGTCTCCTCATCTGTAAATTGAGAGTGATAATATCTACCTTGCAAATTGTTATGAGAGTACATCATTTATTTAAAGGACTTAGGAAAGTGGAAAATGGCAAAGGGAATGCTAGATCTGAACTGTAACCCCTCAAAAAAAATTTAAGACTGAAATACAAACAAAACTTTCCATGTCGCCCTAACCGGTTTGGCTCAGTGGATAGAGTGTCGGCCTGCGGACTGAAGGGTCCCAGGTTCGATTCCGGTCAAGGGCATGTACCTTGGTTGCGGGCATATCCCCAGTAAGGGGTGTGCAGGAGGCAGCTGATTGATGTTTCTCTCTCATCGATGTTTCTAACTCTCTATCCCTCTCCCCTCCTTCCTGTAAAAAGTCAATAAAATATATTTTAAAATAAAACTTTCCATGTTTTTAAACATCCATTTGTACAATGAATGTAAGTTTGAATTTAAACAATGAAAAACTAAACATAAATTGAATCCATTTAAAATATACAAATTTCAAACTTTATAATCTAATAAATGTGCAATAATTAACTAAAGTAACATAAAACCAGACTTACTCTAGAAATTCAGTGATATATTTCTGACTGCATTTTGACCAGGTCCAAGGACTTGTGTGGTAATTTAGAGTTGGAGCCATCACATGATATTGATGTTTAATTCCAGATTCCTTACATTTAAAACTATCATCATGTGGAACATTAAATCTAAAAATAAAAACAGACAGTTAAAAAACACTAAAATATGTATACAACATAAGTAACAAATCTCTTGTATCTATATTATATTATAATGTAAAAAACAGAAAAGTCTGATTTCATCAGAATTTGTACTCTTGATCTCTCCATAAAGCATTATAAACTAGGTTACCTTCACCTTAAGAAGCACATAATCTCTGAAAAACACTAGGTTATAACTTTGATCAGAAGCAGTCTGTTAATATGATATCTGAATCTACACAATCAAAATATTTGGATTCTGGCTCACCTCCTCGCAATAAGGACAAAGCATTCACATAAAAATGCTGGCAGTTTTCAACATGCATATCTTAGATGTGTGGAAAGATTAGGTAAAGGCAATACCACACTAAATTCCAGACCACTGATTATTGGTACAGTACCAAAAGAACTTCTTTGAAATAAGCCAGTCAGAGAACGACAAATACCATATGATCTTGCTTATATGTAGAATCTAATGAACAAATTAAACTGATGAACAAAATAGTGACAGAGGCATGGATACAAGGAACAGACTAACAGCTGTCTGATGAGGGGAGGTGAAGGGATTAGCCAAAAAACATACATACATAACACATAGACACAGACAATAGTGTGGTGATAGCCAGAGGGAAAGGGGCATGGGGGGTAGGTGGAGGCAGGCAAAGGAGGGGGGAAAGAGGGAGGGAAAGAGACTTTGCTTGGGGCAATGGGCACACAATGCAGTGTGCAGATGATGTTTTGTTGAGTTGTACACTTAAAATCTGTATGGTTTTGCAGATCAATGTCACCCAATAAATTCAATTTTTGAAAGGGACTTCTTTAATCACTAATTCCATATTATTCTATAACTAGAGGCCGGGTGCAAGAAATTCGTGCATGGGTGTGTGTGTGTGTGTGTGTGTGTGTGTGTGTGTGTCCCGCAGCCAAGACTGCACTCTCTCCAATCTGGGACCTCTCGAGGGATGTCCAACCCACACCGGGATCGGGCCTAAATGGGCAGTCGGACATCCCTCTCACAATCCAGGACTGCTGGCTCCCAAACTCTCGCCTGCCTGCCTGCCTGATTGCCCCTAACCACTCCACTGCCAGTCTGATCACCCCCTCACCCAGTGGTTCTCAACCTTTCTAATGCCGCAACCCTTTAATACAGTTCCTCATGTTGTGGTGACCCCCAACCATAAAATTATTTTTGTTGCTACTTCATAACTGTAATTTTGCTACTGTTATGAATCATAATGTAAATATCTGATATGCAGGATGTATTTTCATTGTTACAAATTGAACATAATTAAAGCATAGTGATTAATCACAAAAACAATATGTAATTATAGATGTGTTTTCCGATGGTTTTAGAGGCGACCCCTGTGAAAGGGTCGTTCAACC